GAGACCCAGAGAGAGAGGCAGAGACATAGTGGGAGAAGCAGGTTCCCAATAGGGAGCCTGATGCAGGACTCGATCCCAGAACCCAAGGATCATGACCTGAGCCCAAGGCAGGTGCTCAACCACTGAGTCACCCAGGTGTCCCCCTCGGAATATTTTAATTATATTTTCCCCTTCCTGCATAGACATTATTGTACTCAGGAATTTTATTTTCTTAATAAACTCTATTTTGGAATCATTTTAGATTCACAGAAAAGTTGCAAAGTAGCGGTGGGTCCATGTATGCCCTTCACTCAGCTTCACCTAACGTTACCGTAGAACGTTGGTACATTTGTTAAATCTATGTGATAACATTGGTACATTTACTTTTTTTTTTAATTTTTATTTACTTATGATAGTCACAGAGAGAGTGAGAGGCAGAGACACAGGCATAGGGAGAAACAGGCTCCATGCACCGGGAGCCCGAGGTGGGATTTGATCCAGGGTCTCCAGGATCGCGCCCCGGGCCAAAGGCAGGCGCCAAACCGCTGCGCCACCCAGGGATCCCGGTACGTTTACTTTTAACTAAATGCCAAACTTCATTCAGATTTCACCAATTTTCCCACTAACATCCTTTCTTTTGTCTAGGATCCAATCGAGGGTCCATGTTGGATTTAGCTGTCATGCCTCCTTAATCTCCTCTGGTCTATGGCAGTTTCTCAGTCTTTCCTTGTTTTCTCTGACCGTGACAGTTTTCAGGAGTACTGGCAGGTTCTTAAATTTAGGTTTCTGTTTTCTGTATGCTTAGCCTGAGGTTCTGTGTTTTGGGGAAAAAAAAAAAACCACAGAGGCAACATGCCCCTCTCATTACATCACATCAGGCAGTACATGAGATCACCTGGGTGTTGCTAATCTTTATGACCTGGCTAAGGTTGTGCTTGCCAAGTGTCTCCTGTGTGAAGCTCTCATTTTTCTCTTTCTATTCTCAGTGCTTTGGAAGCAAGCCCCTAAGTGGAGCCTACATTGTGGCTGGAAGGAGTGAGAGGCGGAGTGGGTGTATCTACACAATGTTGTTGTTTTTTTTTAAAGATTTTCTTTATTCATGAGAGACAGAGAGAGAGGGGCAGAGACACAGGCAGAGGGAGAAGCAGGCTCCATGCAAGAAGCCCCATGTGGGACTCGATCCTGGGTCTCCAGGACCACTCCCGGAGCTGAAGGTGGCGCTAAACATCTGAGCCACCTGGGCTGCCCTATACACAATGTTATTTGGAATTCTTGTATAGAGAAAATTTGTCTCCTCTTATTTGTTCAATTCTTTTGTTATAGCAGTACAAACTCATGCATACTTATTTTGTACTTTGTGTTTTAGTCCAATACAACATTATTTCTTTTGTTGCTCAAATTGTTCCAACTTTGGCCTTTGTGAGCTCTCTCGGGTTGGCTCCTTTTTCCTTTCGATATGACCCAATCCTTTTGTTTTTATGGATGCTTCTTTACTTTCTGGCCCTACAAGATGCTCCTGGCTCCCCTTCCTGTCTCTTTCTCCCATGACAGAGCAATGTAGTCACTAGTTTACAGGTAAGCCCCAATCTTCTCTCTTCCAGGAAAGAAATATTTTACACTGCCTAGATTCAGTGCCTGAGATTGACCCACCTGTCCAAATTATAGCTGAATTTGGATCAGATATTAAACATTTGCTGTGTTCCATCCCTGGAGCCACATTGGGGCCCCTTGATCACCGGCCTTACTGTCCCATGTGCCTGGCCCCAGCCTATCTACTATTCAAGACCAACTACGTTATGAAAAGAACAGTTATTTGGAGGAGAGATCCTGGGCTCCAGTTTTTAATATAGTAAGTTTGAAGTATATGCAATATCCAAATATCTTCCACCCTTACCTCTTACTTGTCTTCAAGCAAATGAATATAGCAGGAAATTGTTGACTTCGTCTTCCACAATCCAATCTTCTGGGACAATCCCAGTCTCTGGGACAAATCCTTCCATCATTTCAGCAGAATTACTGCCTTGTGTTGATAACAGATTACACCTTTCTTACCTCAGAAGTTTACTTTCTCCAAAATAATGGTAAATGTTGTCATCCTACCATTTGTCTCTGCATAATTCTAAAAAATCTTTGAATCTCTTTAGCTCTGCCTAGAGGTCAGAGTCTACTGACAATGACCTGACTCTCTGATATTGGAACCACAACAGTGTCCGAACATTTCCAAGTTTTCTTTGGATGTTCCCTCACCCTACCACACTCAACCTCCTTTCTTCCAAAAATTTCCTTGACTCTTGGCCTACCTTATAATATCCCCCCAAATAATTCTGGCAGCTCTCCATACCTAGCTTGCTGTTCGAATCCACTTCAACTCTGTCTTGTGTTGGAATTGTTCCTATGTTCTCATGAATTCCTGGGGGTGGGCATCAGACCTTAGCCATCTTATCTCCTCCATATGCCTGACTGTCTCCAGCACCTACTCCACCTTGTTTGTTACACCTGAACATCTTACACAACTGTCCAGCAGTTGAATCAACTTGATAGCATTGCACCATCCAAGTACGTGGCAAAAAACCAAACCAAACCAAACCAAAACACCCTCTAGACTTCTACAGTCCTCCTGCATCCATCCTTGGGGAAATATGACCCTGAACCATATCCATTCCACATGTGGAAGTGGGGCTACTGCACATGCTGGCATCATTGACAGGATCAAGGGGGTACTTTTCCCTCTCCAGTACTAGAAAGCTGGGTATCTCTTCTGCCCTGACCCAGCTGTAATGCCAAGAAGAGAGAGGAATTTACCCAAAGAAAACACAAGCAGGAGAGTTCAAGGTAAAAAGAAGCAGAGAGCTTTTGCAGGAAGACCCTTTCTTCACTCTACACATTTTGAGCCGTAGAGTTAGGAAGAGGCATTTTGGAGGATGAAAAACAAAGGGATGACACTGAGAAGTCAGGGGAGGAGTGGCTGAGGAAAGTGGCACTGCTTAAGGATCTAAGGTCCAATGTAAATGTACAGCAGGAAAAGAGAGCTCAGATAGAGGCTGGAGGCCCACAGACATTTAGAGAGTACTTACAGCTGCCTTTAAGAAGTGGGTTACTCGGGATCCCTGGGTGGCTCAGTGATTTAGCGGCTGCCTTCCGCCTACGGCAAGATCCTGGAGTCCTGGGATCAAGTCCCACGTCAGACTCCCCGCATGGACTCCGCTTCTGCCTCTCTCTCTGTGTCTCTAACGAATAAAGAAAACTAAAAAAAAAAAAAAAAGTTGGCTACTCTATGCTCATAAAACTAAAATCTGTTTGGCTTCTTGGAGGCCACTCTAGTGCCTGAAGTTTCCAGAGAGCTTCAGAGGTTTTACGTGTGTGTACTTCTCGGGCACAAGTGGGAGCCAACTCTCTATTATCAGACTCGTATATCCTAGGCACCAAACAGCTGGCATGGGTCTGGGATGAGCAAGATTTGCCTTTGATATACCAAAACAGGTGACAGCTGATGTCTAAAATGGACAGAATGGGGCTTTATTTCTTTTAGATTGTTATTTATTTCTTCGAGAGAGAGGAGAGAGAGAGCATGAGCAGGAGTGGGGGAGAGCAGAGGACGAGGGAGAAGCTGACTCCTCGCTGAGCAGGGAGCCTGACCCAGGGCTCGATCCAGGACCCCAGGATCATGACCTGAGCTGAAGGCAGACACTTAACTGACTCAGCCACCCAGGCACCCCCAGTCAGGGGCTTCTGAGTGTTTGTCGCGTCTCACCACCAAAGGCTCTTCAGCACCCCAGAGTTCCTTATTTTCCCCTTACACGCTCGGGCAGGGTCTAACCCCTGGATGTAGTTTTCATTCTAGTGATAAGGAACCTGTCCTGCCTATTTGGGATTCTTTTTCTGGGTGTCCTATGTTGGGGACACAAGTTTTCCCCTCTTCCTCTGGAATTATCTATGTTCCCCGCTCTCCTTGTTTGTGTGATTCTGTGCAGGTGCGCACACACATGAACCTAGGTATTGCAGATGAGGATACAGAGAGGCTGGAATAAGGTCTGGATCAGTGGCCAGTGAAAGGGGCTTGGTGGGGACAGAGGGAGGAGTAAAGAAACAAACCGGTTGTTGGGAACAACCATGCCACTCATCTTCTCCCACCTCTAATTTATTGATTCTGATCTACTGAGTGAGGAAGGTTAACTTTCCAAAACAAGGCATTTCACTTTATTTCTGAAGTCAGAACATGCCAGTAACAGTGGAGACCGCGAAGAACTTCCCCAAGATAGAGAGGCTCTTTCTCCCCATCCTGGGCTGCGGGTGGCACGGGGACTGGGCCTCTCCTCCCACCACACGTGCTGCTAGGCCAACGTGCCTCCGAGGGCTTCACCGCCCAGAAACACCAGGTCACACCAGTTCACAGCAGGGCAGGCTCTAGTGCTTCCAAGGGGTCCACGCTGCGTTTGCGCCCTGGCCCGGTGAGGGCGCTCCTGACAGCCTCACAGACAGACGGAGCCGCAGCCAGGTGCGCCTGCGCCTCAGGGATGGAACACTGGAATAGGAGGCTCAGCAGGGCTATGGGGATCACCTGTGGGGAAGAGGCCGGGACACCTGAAGCCCGAGAGAGTGAGGCCATGAGGAAGGAACCCTGGACGAGCCAGAGTGTAGCATGTGGGAGTCAGAAGCCACTAGGTTGGACGCTAGGATAGAAGAGTTACCAACACCAGAAATTGTAGTGAGGTGGGTTAAGAACTGAGAGAAGCCTTCACCCGGACCCGAAAACTCCTATTCATCTTTAAGAGCCAGTTCGAAGGCCCCCTTCCCCCTTTCCTGACTCCCCTCCTAAACAGAACTGAAGGCCCCATTTCTGCACCCCTCTGACGCCATTCCCACATGTCTGTGCCTCCTGTCACAATCACGACTCCCTCAGGAACAGGGAGCTTCTTGGCAGAATGTCACGGAGCCTTGTAAACCCAGTACCAAGCAGAATTTCTCCTACACGCAAAGGACTCGCTGAATGTTTGCTGAATGACAAGCTGCCGGCAGGATACCTGTTCCTTCTCGTGTGCAGTCTGGATGTGGACGGAGATCGGAGAAGCCCGAATATCATCCGACAGTGGCTGGGGGAAATGGATCACCTGGAGGAGGGTCTCGATGCACCGAGCCTTGGGCTGTCCAGAGAACCGCTGTGGAAGAAGTGGGAAGGTCAGTGCTGGGCTAGGAAGCCAGGGGGAGTGGAGAATGGAGTCAAGGAGGAGAAAGAAGTGGGAGATGGGACAGGTGCATGGGATCCTGAAGACTGGCCATGGAGGCTGTAGAGAATTGGTCCCTATAGGTGATACCAAATTCACAGTCCCCAGGTGTGAAGAAAAAGGGTTAGTGGTGGGCTTTGACTGGCTAGATTAAACTGAAGGATTTTTAAAAGATTTTATGTATTTATTCATGAGAGATACAGAGAGAAAAGCAGAGACATAGGCAGAGGGAGAAGCAGGCTCCGTGCAGGAAGCCTGATGTGGGACTCGATCCTGGGACCCTGGGATCACGCCCTGAGCCAAAGGCAGATGCTCAACCACTGAGCCACCCAAGCGTCCCAAACTGGAGGATTAATAGCAAATTGGTCATACTTTCAGCCAAATTGCCAGCAGCCCCTCCTGGTTTCTTCCTTAACCCCATCCATTTTTTACACCTCTGCCAAGACTGCTCACCTGCCAAAGCTGAATCTATTTTGTCACCACCCTTCCCCTCTGCTAGCTCAGCACTTCCCAACAGAAATATTATGTGGGCCACATATCTAATTTAAGATTTTCTAAGTGCTGCATTAAAAAAGAAACAGGTGAGGGGTGCCTGGGTGTCTCAGTTGGTTGGGCATCTGCCTCCAGCTCATGTCCTGGGATCCAGTTCTGCATCAGGCTCACCACTCAGTGGGGAGTCTGCCTCTCCCTCTCCATCTGCCTCTGCCTCTTCTGCCGGCTCATGCTCTCTCTCTCTCTCTCTCAAATAAATAACAAAATCTTTTTAAAAAGAGACAGAGAAACAGGTGGAATTAAAAAGAAACAGAGGGCAGCCCTGGTGGCTTCTGTTTTGCACTAGTACATTTGGACTGGACATTCCTTGAAATTCTACTGGCCTTCGGTAAGGATCATGCAGTTAGATACTTCATTGTTTTCTTTCTTTTTTTTTTTTTTTTGTTCTTGTTTTGTTTTGTTTTTGTTCTCTTTTTTCAATGTAGGTTTTTTTCTATCCTCCACTAGATGAGCTACTCTGGAATGGCAAAGACTGGATCATACCTATCTCTGATTTCCCCTAAACACGCCAACCCCAGGAACTAAAAAAGCATAAAGCACTTTTCTTTTCCTGGTTGGTTGGTTCTACTTATTTGAGAAGGTTGTTTTAGGGATGCGGTGGGTGTTCACTAAATGCTCATTGATTGACTGATTCCCTTTATGTAGAGTTCTGAGACTTAGCAAATAAAAATACATCAAAATAGAAATTTCAAATGAATAATGAAAAATATAGCATTAGTATGCCTCAACTATTGCACTGGACATACTTATACTTAAAAAAAATCCCTTATTTATCTGAAATTCAAATTGAACTGGTGTCTTGCATTTTTACTTGCTAAACCTTGCAACCCTCCTTTCATGACCATCTGTTGTGCTCTCTGCTCAGAAGCCATTCCTCGTCCTCCTAGTACCAGCACCTTGATCTTCCTCTGGGGAACTATGGCTCTGCCGTTCTGAGGCCATGCTGTTTGACTGAGGCTCCCTTCCCACCCTATTCCTCCAGTGCCATCCCATGGGGAGAGCACATGAGCCAGACCTGGGTAGAGAGCTGCTTTCCCCTGGAGAATAGTGACTGGCTCAGGAATGGCATGTGACCCAAGACAAGACAGCAAGAGCCCTTCCTGCCAGGCATTCGTGGGAATCACAGGGACAGATAAACTCTCCTTCCACTTGGGTTGCTACCTTGGTGGGATGTAGGCTGGCACTGCTGGTGGCCACTTATGCCACCTACTGGAGAAAACCTGCCTGAGAATGAGAGGGACACAGAGGAAAGTAAAGGGCTGACATTCTGGAGCACATTGCTTTGAGTATCTGGATCTAGCTCCCCTGAGACTTCAGTTACATGGGCCGGTCATTTGCCTTGTTTAGCTTAAACCAGTATGAATTAGAGTTCTGTCACATACTTGTAACTGAAATAATCTTGTCTGATAGTTATAATCTCAGACATTTACCCATGCATGCACATACACTCCCTAGAGTGGAGGATGAGCCTGATAAGAGGAAGTGGAGGTGCAGGAGAAAAGTCAGCCCTTAGCCCCACGTGTCCCCTTATCTCTGTGGCGGTCTAGGCATGACACCAGGCCCAACACAGCCCCACACAGCCCCGACCCATCATGGCCTACCTGCAGCATGGCCAGCGCCCGCCAGAAGAGCTTAGAGTTGCGGATGCGGAGGTCCAACATGTGGTTTTGGAGGATCTTCCCAAGAAGCACATGGGCCCCTGTGCTCACAGTATTCAGTATCCACTTGGTGCTTAGCTCATGCTGGAACTTCTAAATAGGGCACACATAGGGGGGTGACGGAAATTAGAGGAGGGTAGAGCAACAGGATGAATAGGGCCCTATTGTCACATGGGAATCCAGGGATCAAAAAAGAGAGACCCAAATACAGACGTAATTTGTTTCAGCAGCCCAGAGTTTAGATGTTAGGATAGTAGCTGTAAGCCAAGACAGTCCCAGGCAAGCCTGGTGGTGTCACATATTTGTGGTTTTGATCCCTAGGTACACAGATATCTTCTCTGAGATCTTCCACAGAAGGGTTTTGCACGTATCAGAACTTTCCTTCTGCTCTCCAGGTACCTGATACGAGGAGTGAAAGTCCTGGGATTCGTTCCATGAAACCAAAGGCCTCTCGGGAGCAAAGATAGTGTCTTATTCTGCTCCAGAGCCCCAATCTTTTTGATAATGGCTGATACATGGTTACTGAGCAATACATGTTTGTTGAGAATTAATTCAATTTAACAATTATAACAACCTAATGAAATAGGATTTTCTATCCCCATTTTTACATATGTGGAAATTAGAGGTTAGAAATAAAGTAACTTGAGGGCCTGGGTGGCTCATCAGTTAAGCATCTGACTCTTGATTTTGGCTCAGGTCATGATCTCAAGGTCGTGGGATCAAGCCATGTGCTGGGCTCCAGATTCAGCAGGGAGTCTGCTGGACATTCCTTTTTCCTCTGCCCCTCCAACTGCTGGTTCTCACTCTTCTCTCTCCCTCTTTCAAATAAATAAACAAATCTTAAAAAAAAAAAGTAAAGTAACTTGAATAAGTTTATATGATAGTGAGACGCAGAATGAGGACCTAATTTCAGGTCTTCTGATTGGTGATGAGGGCGTTTCCTACTTGGCCACAGTCATCTCCTGGGTGAATAAGATAATGTACGTGAAAGCACACTGAAAACTAAAATGCTGCACAAACACATAGTACTGTGAGTATAAACGCCACCTGTCCTTAACCCTCATCTCTTGCTTTTATAACATCTATTACTGCACTTTGCATCTATTACTGTAACAGGAGTCCAGACAAGGAATTGAAAGGATTAATTACTGGGTCCTGGCCAGGCAAAGGAACAGGCTACCACTACTTCTACCTCCTTCTGGCATTCTACAAATAGCAGGTCACACACACCCCTTGCAGAGGGTATACTGAAAATACTTAACAAGGGATTGACAAGGACATGAGTACTGTATAAGTACATTTGCAGTGATGGGCATGGAGCTAGAGACTACTATTCTAAGTGAAGTAAATCAATCAGAGAAAGATAAATACCATATGATTTCACTCATGTGGAATTTAAGAAACAAAACAAACAAGCAAAGGGAAAAAAAGAGAAGAGAGACAAATCAAGAAACAGACTCTTAACTATAGAGAACTGATGGTCACCAGAGGGGAGGGAGGTGGGGGATGGGTTAAACAGGTGATGGGGATGAAGGAGTGCACTTGCTGTGATGAACACAGGGTGTTGTCTGGAAGTGCTGAATCACTATATTGTACACCTGAAACTAATATGACACTATGTTAACTGACAGGAATTTATTTTTTTATTTTATTTTATTTTTAGATTTTATTTATTTTTTCATGAAAGATATATAGAGAGAAGCAGGGACACAGGAAGAGGGAGAAGCAGGCTCCATGCAGGAAGCCTGATGCGGGGCCTCGATTCTGGGAGTCCAGGATCATGCCCTGAGCCAAAGGCCAACGCTCAACTGCTGAGCCACCCAGATGTCCCTATTAACAGGATTTAAATAAAAACAGAAAAAAAAAAAAGATATTCTGGCTCATTTGGCCAAAAGAGAGAAAGAGAAAGAGCACAGAAATCTGACCAATCTAAATGAAGCTAGCTAGTATGCAGTACACGGACTGCCCAGTGGGAAAGAGAGCAATCAATTCTGGGTTATATCATTTATGTCACTAACCATTACATAACCATTTAGGCCACTAACTATCATTAACCAAAATATTTTAAAAAGGGACACCTGGGTGGCTCAGTACTTGAGCATCTGCCTTTGCCTCAGGGCATGATCCCTGGGTCCAGGATCAAGTCCTGCATTGGGCTCCCTGCGTGGAGCCTGCTTTTCCCTCTGCTTGTGTCTCTGCTTCTTTCTCTGTGTCTCTCATGATTAAATAAATAAAATCTTTAAAAAATATATTTTAAAGTGTACATAATCTGAATCCAGACACATTCATTTTAAAGTTCATATGGAAAAAAGACAGCAACTTTACCTAGAAAAATCCTCTAAAAAAAAAAAAAAAGAAATGAGAAAAGCACTAACCTTTCAAATATTAAGCCTACAATTAAGCCTCTGTATTTAAACTGTATGGCACCATCACATCGATAGACAGACTGGTAGAACAGAACAGAAAATCCAGAAATAAACCAGTGCACATGGGAACTAAGTATCTGATAAAGGATATGTCTCAATCACTCAGGAAAAGATGAACTTAAAAAATATATTGAGACAATCATATAGTCACTTAGAAAAAATATATAATTGGGTTCATACCTTAATCCATACACAATGAACTAATGAACTGCAGGTCTACGTGCTTAAAAAAAAAAAGAAACCATTTTTACTAAAAGAAACATGTACTAGAAGAAAACACAGGTAGAATTCTTTTATAAACTGGGGATAGTAGAGAGCTTTCAGTGCCTCAAGGTCCAGATTCAACAAAAAATGGATTAATAAGTTCTACCCCAGAAAAGTTTTTTTTTAATTTTATTTATTTATTTATGAGAGACAGAGAGAGAGAGAGACAGAGACACAGGCAGAGGGAGAAGCAGGCTCCATGTAGGGAGCCTGACATGGGACTCGAACCCGGGTCTCCAGGATCACACCCTGGGCTGAGGGCAGCACCAAACTGCTGAGGCTCCCCGGCTGCCCTACCCCAGAAAAAATTTTAAAAAGACTTTTGCATGGTTAAAACCCAAATGAAATATTTACAATATATATCTGAAAGAAAGGACTAATGCCTCTCATTTATAAAGTACTAAAAATCAAGAGATCATACAGACCCCAATACCATTAGAAAATTAATATATTTTATATATTTACATGAACACACACAGTTCACAAAGAAAAAGATTTACTAAAGAGCCTTAAGCATGTGAAAAGATGCTCAACTAAACACATAATAAGTAAAATATACATGAAAACCACACAGAAGGGATGACTGGGTGGCTCAGTAGGTGAACATCTGCCCTCGGCTGGGGGCGTGATCCAGGGATCTGGGATGGAGTCCAGCATCCAGCTCCCTGCATGGAGCCTGCTTCTCCCTCTGCCTGTGCTTCTCCCTCTGCCTGTGTCTCTGCCTCTTTCTCTCTGTGTGTCTCTCATGAATAAATAAATAAAATCTTAAAAAAAAAAAGAAAACCCCAAATCCCCATCAAAAAAACTGCCAAAACTGATAAATTCTGTAAAATCACAGGATACAAAGTGAACTTGCAGAAATCTGTTGCATTTCTATGCAACAATAATGAGACAGCAGAAAGAGAAATTGAGGACTCAATCCCATTTATACTAGCACCAAAAACAATAAGATACATAGGATTAAGTCTAACCAAGGAGGTGAATGCCCTTACTGTAAATATTGCAAAACACTGAGGAAGAAATTGAAGGTGACACAAACAAAATAGAAAGGCATTTCATGCTCATGGATTGGAAGCACAAATATTGTTAATAAGGCTATACTACTCAAAGCAATCTACACATTTAATGTAATCCCTATCAACATAGAAATAGCATTTTTCACAGAGCTGGAACAAATGATCCTAAAATTCGTATAGAACCACAAAAGATTGGAAATAGCCAAAGCAGTGTTGAAAAAGATAACCAAATCTGGGGCATCACAATTTCAGACTTCTAGCTATGTTACAGAGCTCTAGTGATCAAAAGAGTATAGTGCGGACACAAGAAGACGACACGTAGATCAATAGAACAGAATGGAAAACTGAAATGAGATACAAACCTGTAACTCTATGCTCAATCTTCAACAAAGCAGGAAAGACTATCCAATGGCAAAAAGACAGTCTCTTCAGCAAACGCTGTTGGGAAAACCAGACAGCCACATGCAGAAGAATGAAAGTGAACCACTTTCTTATACCATATATGAAAAGCAAATTCAAAATGGATTAAAGACCTAAATGTGAGACCTGAAACCATAAAAAGAAGAAAAGAAAGGCAGAATGTCTTTGACTTGGCTATTGGATCTTCTTTCTAGATATGCCTCTGAGGCAAGGGAAACAAAAGCAAAAATAAACTATTGGGACCTCATTAAGTTGAAAAGGTTCTGCACAGTGAAGGAAACAACCAAAGCTAAAAGGTAACATAAAAACGAGAGAAGATATTTGTAAATGACAAATCCAATAAATAGTATCCAAAATATATAAAGCAGATATAAATCTCAGCATCCTAAACACAAATTATCCAACTGAAAATGAGCAGAAGACATGAACGGACATTTTCTCTAAGAAGACAGCCAGATGGCCACCAGACATATGGAAAGACACTCAGCATCATCCATCATCAGGAAAATGCAAACCAAAACCACAATGAGTTATCACCTGACACCTATCAGAATGGCTAAAATTAACACCACAAGAAACAACAGGTATTGGTGGGGATGAGGAGAGCCCTCTTACACTGCTGGTGGGAATGAAAACAGGTGCAGCCACTGTGGAAAACAGTATGGAGTTTCCTCAAGAAGTTAAAAATAGAGCTACCCTCTTTCAGAAATTGCACAACTAGGTATTTACCCAGAGGATACAAAAGTACAGATTCGAAGGGGGACGTGCAGCCCAATGTTTGTAGCAGCATTATCAACAATAGCCAAACTACGGACACAGCCCAGATGTCCATCGACAGATGAATGGGCAGCGAAGATGTGGTAAATATACACACTGCGATATCACTCGGTCATCAGAAGGGATGAAATGAAGCCATTTACAACGAGGTGGAAGAAGTGAAAAGGAATTATGCTAAATGAAGTAAGTC